GCACCGACGCACCGCTTCTCCGGCCATGCTGAGGCCACGTCCCACATACAGCAACTAGAAGGATGTGCAGCTATGACATGCAACTATCTGCTGGGGCTTTGGGGGAAATAAATAGATTAGATAGATAGATAGATAAATAAATAAATAAATAAAGAAGAAATAGAGAACCTGAATAGACCAATCACAAGTAAAGAGATTGAAACAGTAATCAAAAACCTCCGAAAAAATAAAAGTCTAGGACCAGATGGCTTCTTTGGAGAGTTTTACCAAACATGCATAGAAGATTTAATACCCATTCTTCTCAAACTATTTCAAAAAATAGAGGAAAATGGAACACTTCCCAACACATTCTATGAGGCCAACATTACCCTGATACCAAAGCCAGAGAAAGACAATACTAAGAAGGAAAACTACAAACCAGTAACCCTGATGAACATAGATGCAAAAATCCTCAACAAACCAAACCAAATACAGCAATACATTAAAAAGACCATACACCATGATCATGTGGGATTTATACCAGGGACAGAGGGATGGTTCAACATCCACAAATCAATCAATGTGATACACCACATTAACAAAATGAGAAATAAAAACCATATGATCATTTCAATAGATGCAGAGAAGGCATGTGACAAGATCCAACACCCATTTATGATAAAAACTCTCAACAAAATGGGTACAGAAGGAAAGTACCTTAACATAATAAAGGCCATATACGACAAATCCACAGCCAACATCACACTCAACGGGGAAAAACTGAAAGCTATCCCTCTGAAAACAGGAACAAGAGAGGGTGCCCACTCCCGCCACTCTTATTCAACACAGCACTGGAGGTTCTGGCCAGAGCAATTAGGCAAGAAAAAGGAATAAAAGGAATAAAAATAGGCAACAAAGAAGTGAAACTCTCACTGTTTGCAGACGACATGATCTTATATATAGAAAACCCTAAAGAATCCATTGGAAAACTAATAGAAATAATCAACAACTACAGCAAAGTTGCAGGGTACAAAATCAACTTACGGAAATCAGCTGCATTTCTACATACCAACAACGAACTAACAGAAAGAGAACTCAAGAAGACAATCCCACTTACAAGTGCAACAAAAACAATACAATATCTAGGAATAAATTTTTTTTTTTTTTTTGTGAGGGAGATCAGCCCTGAGCTAACATCCATGCTAATCCTCCTCTTTTTGCTGAGGACGACCAGCTCTGAGCTAACATCTATTGCCAATCCTCCTCTTTTTTTTTTCCCCAAAGCCCCAGTAGATAGTTGTGTGTCATAGTTGCACATCCTTCTAGTTGCTCTATGTAGGATGCGGCCTCAGCATGGCCGGAGAAGCGGTGCGTTGGTGCGCACCGGAGCTGAACCTGGGCCGCCAGTAGCGGAGCGCACGCACTTAACCGCTAAGCCACGGGGCCGGCCCTATCTAGGAATAAATTTAACCAAGGAAGTGAAAGACGTATAGAATGAAAACTATAAGACATTATTGAGTGAAATCAATGATGACATAAAGAAATGGAAAATTATTCCATGCACTTGGACTAGAAGAATAAACATAGTTAAAATGTCCATACTACCTAAAGCAATCTACAGATTCAACGCAATCCCAATCAGACTCACAATGACATTCTTCACGGAAATAGAACAAAGAATCCTAAAATTTATACGGAACAACAAAAGACCAAGAATAGCTAAAGCAATCCTGAGAAAATGAACAAAGCTGGAGGCATCACAATCCCTGACTTCAAAACATACTACAAAGCTATAGTAATTAAAACAGCATGCTACTGGTACCAAAACAGACACACAGATCAATGGAACAGAATTGAAAGCCCAGAAATAAAACCTCACATCTACGGGCAGCTAATTTTTGACAAAGGAGCTAAGAACATACAATGGAGAAAGGAAAGTCTCTTCGATAAATGGTGCTGGGAAAACTGGACAGCCACTTGCAAAAGAATGAAAGTAGACCATCTTCTTTCACTATACACAAAAATTAACTCAAAATGGATCAAACGTCTGAAGGTGAGACCTGAAACTATCAAACTCCTAGAGGAAAATATAGGTAGTACACTATTTGTGATGGGCCACAAAGGGATCTTTTTGAATTCCATGTCTACTCACACAAGGGAAACAAAAGAAAAAATAAACAA